GCGTGTCCCTCTTGGGCGTGTCCCTCTCACCTGGGCGTGTCCCTCTTGGGTGTGTCCCTCTTGGGTGTGTCCCTCTCCCCTGGGCGTGTCCCCCCATGACTCCGCCCTGTCCCCCCTGGTCCCCTCGCTGTCCCCTGGGCCCTGCCTGTCCCCATCCCATGGGTCCCCTGGCTCAGGCGTGTGCCACACATGTGCCAGGCGTGTGCTTGGTGTGTGCCACATGTGCCTGGCATGTGCCATGTGTGCCTGGTGTATGTCATGTACCCGGCATGTGCTTGGCGTGTGCCCGGCATGTGCCTGGCATGTGCCACATGTGCCTGATATGAGCCTGGTGTGTGCTTGGTGTGTGCCACACGTGCCTGGCATGTGCTTGGCATGTGCTTGGCGTGTGCCTGGCATGTGCCTGGCGTGTGCCACATGTCCCCGGTGCCAGCTGTGCGTGTCCCCAGCAAGGCGGCGCTGGGCAGGATGGCGCTGTACGAGTCCTTCGCCCAGGCCACGCAGCTCGGGGAGCTGCACACGTGCCTGATGATGGACATGAAAGCGTGCCAGGAGGATGATGTGAGGCTGCTCTGCTTCCTGACACCGTCCATTTACAGCGAGGTGAGCACATGTGACAGTGTGACAGGGACAGGGGGACAGGGACAGTGTGACAGGGACAGTGTGAGACTGCTCTGCTTCCTGACACCGTCCATTTACAGTGAGGTGAGGGGACAGGGACACTGTGACAGGGATGGTGACAGTGTGACAGGGACAGTGACAGTGTGAGGCTGCTGTGCTTCCTGACACCGTCCATCTACAGCGAGGTGAGCACATGTGACAAATGTGACAGTGACAGTGTGACAGGGACAGTGTGACAGGGACAGGGACAGTGTGACAGGGACAGGGACTGTGCCAGGAGGACGATGTGAGACTGCTCTGCTTCCTGACACTGTCCATTTACAGCGAGGTGAGGGAACACAGGGGACAGGGGGACAGGGACAGGGACACTGTGACAGTGTGATAGGGACAGGGACAGTGTGACAGTGACAGTGTGACAGGTGTGACCAGGGTACCTGTCCAGGTGTGCTGAAGGACCAAGTCCAGGATTGGAATTTTTCTGTGGGGTTCACAGTTTTTCCATGGGATTTGGAGTTCTTCCATGGGTTTTGCAGTATTTTTATGGGATTTGGAGTATTTTTATGGGGTTTGCAGTATTTTTCCATAGGG